GTGATGAGCACAGGGCTCGAGGCTCCTCCTTATGTGCAGACGTTATCCTTGTCGGTAATTTACCGACGTGGAACCAGAGATGTTTTCCGGTTAAGTGTTCCGGCTCCCTATTTGCAAGATGTTTTTTGTCGGTAATTGAGAGTGCGTTTACCGACGTGATTTTCATCTACCTCGGTGATTTAATTACCGAGCTGGGCTTTACCGAGGTAGCCATTACTGATGTGATGCAAGTGGGTAGTTTGTTTCACCGACCAGATTCCCTCTTCCTCCGACATGGTTTCTCGTCGGTGATACAGTGAATTCTTGTAGTGGATACAGCTTGAATCTATTAAGAGAAAAAATGGGGGTGAGGACCGCGATTAACGCGCTCAACAACAAAGCATTCCGCGACGAAAAAATTTTACTGTACACCATCCGCAGGGGGGTGAAGAGCTGTTTCAGTGGGCAGTTTTTGTGGAAAGACCCTCTTTGGCACAAAGCTAAAATGACATTCCTGATTACTATATATGGTACCGTGAGTGTCTCTCTCTTCTACTCATCTGGGTATTAGTTTAAAGTAGAAGTGGTTTGTTCATTGTTGTCTCCGGGAGCTATAATTAGCCAATCAATCTGTACTTGGATTTATATATCTGCCTAATTATTATATAAAAGAGAGTTCATTTCCGGTTAATCTCTTTCCTTTCAAGATTATAGTTGCATGTTCGGGAATTGAATAAATGCAATTTGTGCTTACTGTTAGTATTAGGCAAACAAAAACGTGTTTTATAATTTAAATTGTATTAGATTGTACAGTACTTACCATTTGATCGGTGGCTTCCCTAATAATAGGGTTTGTCAATGTGATACATTTTGGATTGCAAGATAAAAAACTCTTATACAAAAGCTTAACGTTGTGATTATTTTACATAATTTCTTTGTATAGCACTTATTTAACAAGTTTTGTGATCAGATTATAGATCTGTCTCTGGTTCATCCTTTCTTGCAGACACTTGAAGGACTTGAGTGTATGTTATCTAGGTCTTGTGCTCAAGCAAGCATTATATTCCAAATTTACTAGGTATAGAGGAGCTAAGCTAGCATATAGTTCTTCCACATATACTCCTTGATTGATTTTTAGTGTTTTCATGTTTGTATTAATTCAAGAACTGTTGCAGCATCCTTATCTCCTCTCCCACTAACATTCACTACAACCTTGGTGCCATTAGCTAATGTAGGGCAGAGTTTATCCAGAAAAGCTAGTGCATGAGATGA